TTCTTAGGCTTTTAAGCGCGAATCAGAATCAAGTGACAAAATAATAGTTACAATATCTGAATCTAGTACAACAAAAGTATTTGTCTTTTTAAATCCCAACCCACATATTGGGAACTAGACCATAAGTGAAATCAATCAACGTTTAAATTAAGAAATCCCCAATTAGCTGAAAGGAGAACCATATTATAAAATTCTTCACTTCAGATTAATAGACGAAGATGTGAGAACAGATACATGAAGTTAGATTATTTGTTCTTTCAAAATAATCTCATTTGGCAATAACTTTTTTTTCTTTTTGGGCAAGGGGAGGGTCGAACCTACGAATCTGGATACTGTAGATGTAAAAAGTGAACTTCTAGTTTTTTTTTGGACAAAGTAAACTTGTAGTTTAGTACTGAGTAATTCTTGGGTCCATCAACCAATAGAATTTCATTGTTTTATATTCGGTATCTTTAAAAAAAGGAAACAAAACATTATTGATTTATATTATGTTTTTAAAATAAAAAATAATAAAAATAATAGTAGTTGCCAACAAAAAACTTTTTAAAAAAATATTTTTAACACCATCAGCAAAACACTAAACCCTAAATCATAAACCCTAAACCCTTGGGTAAACCCTAAACTCTTGGATAAATCTTTGATTTTGTAAAAAATATTTTTGATACTGAAAACAAAACACTAAACCCTAAATCCTAAACCCTAAATCCTAAATCCTAAATCCTAAACCCTTAGGTAAACTCTAAACCCTTGGATTAATCATAAATCCTACGGTTTAAGATTAATCCAAGGATTGAGGATTTACCTAATGGTTTAGGGTTTAGGGTTTAGGATTTAGGGTTTAGGGTTTAGTGTTTTGCTGGTGTTAATAAAAATATTTTTTTAAAAACGTTTTTTTTTGTAACTACTATTAGTTTTTATTTATTTTTATTTTTTAATTTTAAAAACATAATATAACTCGATAATATTTTGTTTCTTTTTTAAAAAGATACTAAATATAAAACAATGCAATCATATTGGTTGGTGAACCCAATAATTTCTCTTTAGTACTTACTATTTAGGCTAAAACTCTTGGCATAATGATGCCCATCAACCATAACTGCGTGTTGTTATTTTCTAATAGACGAATTAGCTGCTTATTAGAACAAGATTTGAATATAGAAGGATAAAAGAGAGAGAGGGAAGAGAACTCTTAAGGATAAAGGTAGGGTGGACTTCCATTTTGGCTCCTCTTCCAGACTTCCATTTTGTATTTCTCTTATTACGTTAAAATGATTATGTAATTAATATCATTATCAGTTTCAAAATAACGAGTCATGTTTGATAAACATTCGATATACGAGTTAAAGAAATTCCATAATCAATGTTTTTGATTTTCATGTTGCCTTTTTTTGAGCAACTAATAATTTGATTAAGAAAAGACAGACCCATAAAAAGTTTAGGTTACAAAAAACAGATTTTGCCAGATATATAATCCGCAAACCCATTAAAGGTACTTGGAATAAAGGAGAAGAAATAGAGAATAAAGGAGGAAGACAAGGTTTCACTATCCAACATGATTCCCTAGAGATCCTCCGGTTTGGTGAATGAAACAAGGGCTTTGATTAGCAAAAAGAGAATCTGATCTCAGCTAGATTTTTGTGTAGCCAATGTGAATGGCGTGTGAAAGTGCAATACGAATCACCAAAACTTCCGCCTGGAGAGCCGATTGCACATACATCTGTGATTGAAAACTTTGCCTCGCTTGGGAGCCTTGTGTAGTAAAGATCCATCCCAGACCCGGAACTTTAGTGTTTGGGTTCCACTCTGCATCAGAATTATAGAGGATCCTATCAGGAGGGATTATGAGCATCGGAGGCTACGGTGGAGCCGTGTTGACTACACGCGATGTCTGATCATGTTGAGCCAAACTCCACTCTTACGCATTTGTGAGAGCTTTTGTGATAACTTCTGCAGGGGAGAACTGTCATGATTCAAACAGTCTCTGATTTAGAAATGTCCAGATTATCCACACAATCCAGAAGAAGATATCTCTGGTGACGCTTGTTGGTGGTAAGAAAATCCATCATTGTGAGGCTTCAAGTGCAGCAATGAAATTTGGATAGGATCGTGAGTTGAACAGTGTCTGCAAAGGAGCTCAGTCTTAAGCCTGAGTCACAATGGAGCAGTGTAGGAAGAGGTGATCGATTATTTCGTCCTCTCTACAAGAAGAACAGCTGGCGTTATGAATGACTCCCATTTTCGCAGATTATCTCTAGTTTGTATCGCTTCACGGAGGATTTTCCAGATGAGAAGTTTCTGTCTTGATGGACTAGTGACATTCCAAACAAAATTATTCCAATTTAAAGGGGCTACAGCAGGTGGCAGCCTTGGCTTTTGAGAATCAATCTCTGATGCTATTGGATGACCCGACTTAGATGAGTATGCTCTTAAAGTTGTAGGGTACCAAACATAGGAGTCATGAGCTCATGTTTCGCTCGGTCTAATAGATAGAATCTCCTCTACAAAGTCAAGTAGTAATTTTTTTATCTTTTGGATATTCCATTTTCCTGAACCTCCCAACATCAAGTCAGAGACTACAAGATCATTAACTTCATCTTGTATAGGACCGTGGGGGATTAAATGTGCATTCGTGGAGATCCAGGGTTCTCCCTAGACCTTTGTGGTATGTTCATTTCCTATGATCTTTCCCAATTGTTCCACGAGGAGATCTATCCCTACTAAGACTCCCCTTCATCCATGTGATATAGTAGATGTTGCTTTCACTCGGAGGAGACTAGCATTTTGACAATATTTTCTAATGAGAGATCGTGCCAACAAACAGTCAAGATGAGTAAGCCAACGCCTAGGGATTTTAGCTAGTACTGCCGTATTAAATTGTTAAATATCTTTTAGTCCAAGATCTCATGATTATTTAGGTTGTGTTAGTTTTTCCTAAGAGATCCAACACATTTTCTTCTTTCTGTCATTTGAGTTTCACTAGAAACGAATCATAATTGATTGTATCTTTTTGCATAAGCTAATTGATATATGAAAGCATGACATAGGGAAGGTAAGAATGACCGAGAGTACTGATTTTTTGTTTTTTTTATTTCAATACCATTTGTAGATATGTATTTAAATTTTTCATAAATATTATTTTATTGTATTTTTATATGTTGCTTTTTTTGTCATCCAAAGAATTTCATTAACCTTAAACTGGTCCTTTGGAGTTAGCAACATGTGCTAAACAATTAGGGACCTGAACATTCTAGCCTTACAAAGTGTTGTTCTCATGCTCGGCCTCCTTTTGCAAGAGAGTCCGCATGGAAATTGAAAGAGCTGGGAAGGTAAACATGGTATAAATGTTTGGCCTCTTTTCGCAAGAGAGTCCGCACGGAAATCTGTTGCCTTTTTATTGTTACTAAAGTCATCATGCAATTTATAGTTATAATTTATTTGTCAAATAGTCAAGAAAAAAAGAAATTAGAGTTTAGGAGAAAGAGTAGAGAGATAAGAAGAGAACGTAGGAGATATATGAGAATTTTAATTATTTTGTGAATTTATGTTTTTTATATTTATAGGGTGCAATTTCTATATAATTATACGACGTTCACTATTTTCATCTTACTTTTTTATGATTTACATTTTCTTCTAGTAAGATCTCTTTTATTCAATATTTCAGAAGTTCATGCTGGCTTGGCTTGCATCATGCACATATGGCTACTTCCACCAAGTAAAAGCGTGAAGACAAATTATTGTCCCCCCACTAATAAACATTCCTAACACTATCTTAGGATACTTAATTCTAGACCAACCCAATCAACGGATTGCGTGCTCATTTCGCCCACCCTTCAAGCATCAAATTGATCAATTATTGAAGGTTAACTGGACCGTCCAGAACTTTCTTTTACAAAAAAACTCTGATAAGTAGAAACGAGTGGTGGATTTGATCTCAAGTTGACATAAAGAAGAAAGATCCCAAGTGGTTCATCCAAGGTATCAACACGGTACAATATTTTAATAACCCACACACGGTGTAAAGTTTGACCCATTTAATGAGTTTTATTTTCGGGTAAAGGAAAATGACTTTATTTTGTAGCAAAAAAACAATCAACCATAAAATTAAATGAAAATACTATATGAATCAAACAAGTGACACCACCATGACGACATTTAATCACTAGTATAAGTTTTGATGGTGGACTAGTTTTCATTACGTGTCTAGTAATAAATGTTTCATTTTTTCGTTTAATTTATTTTTTAATAACAATATTTTATAATTAAAAGTAATTAAATTGACTGAATTATTAAGAGTTTCAATTATTTAAAAGTTAACCATAAAAATAGTAATACATTTATAATTAAAACTTTAATTATTTTAATATGCAAAAAGTAAAAGATTGCGAATTATTGGAATCATATAGTCATCTGTAAATTGGTTGAACCTCAGAAAAAGTTAGTGCAAATATAAAATTAATAATATGATAATGAAATGAAATACCGTTATCTTTCTATTTAAATTTCCAGCTGCGTCGTCTCTGTTTTCGCCGTTGTTTCCTTCCTCTTTCTCTTTCCTTTTGCTCTGTATATCTTTCTCTCTTCCCAATTCATTCGTTTCTAGACAATTAAAAAAAAAAAGTGAATCATCTTTCTTCTTCATCATCATCATCTCTCAAGAACAGGTAAACACAATCTCTCTCATCCGCTCCTTCTTTTTCTCCCCTCTTCTCTGTATTAGTTTCCTTTTAATAAACTCTCCTTCTCTTATTTTCCATCTCTGTTTATTTTACCAAGAAAGCGGAGGAAAATTTTCTGGATTTTTCTTCGCTTTTATTACCGATCTTCTGTTCTGTCTTTTTCTAATCTCTTGGTGACCAGATTCTTGTTCGTGTTTTGTTCTTTTTTTTTAAAGGATTGTCTTTTTTTATTTTTTTAGTTCTGCAGATTAAAAGGATTGTCTTTTTTTTTTTTTTTTTTTCCAGATTTTCGACTAGCTTGATCGATTTAAATACTCAAGATCTATGGCGGAGGAACATCGATGTCAGACGCCGGAAGGCCACCGTCTCTGCGCTAACAACTGCGGCTTCCTCGGCAGCTCCGCCACAATGAATCTCTGCTCCAATTGCTACGGCGATCTCTGCCTTAAACAACAGCAACAAGCCTCCCTGAAATCCACCGTCGAATCCTCTCTCTCCGCCGTATCTCCTCCGTCGTCGGAGATCGCTTCCGTCTCTTCTCCGATGATCTCACCTCTCGTTCAAAACCCATCAGCTGAACTCGAGGCAACGACGAAAAACGTCCCGGTGACGGTGACTCCGCCGCCGCAGAAGACGACGGAGGAAAAGGAGCTGAAACGGCCGAATCGTTGCACGACGTGCAGGAAACGGGTCGGGTTAACCGGGTTCAAGTGCCGGTGCGGGACGACTTTCTGCGGGGCCCACAGGTACCCGGAGGTCCATGGATGCACCTTCGATTTCAAATCTGCCGGTCGTGAGGAGATCGCGAAGGCGAACCCGTTGGTCAAAGCGGCGAAGCTTCAGAAGATTTGATGGGAGCCGTTGGATGTGTTGACTTTTCTGTCTTCGTGTAAACGCGTCCGTCCCCGACAAATCAGGATGGTTTTAAGTTGGTCTCAGCCGTTCATCATGGGTCATTATGTAAAAGAATATGTATTATCAAAGGACACGTGTCACGTGGCGCTTTCATCATCTTCCCAATTAATTTTCTTTTCCTCCATAAAGAAATAAGATTATTCGCTTTGGCTTCTTTTGCGTGCAAAGTAATTCAGACAACATATATTTTATGTTTTAGAATTTTTAAAAAAAAATTTAGTGTTACATACTTGAAATTAATAATTATAAAATTAAAAGCTGATAATCTTATCTTACAAAGCAAAGGATTATAGGTTATATTACTTTAGTGCTATAAGCACACGATCTTTTGAATTATATGATTCCACAACACTTGATCATATACAATGTTATCCCTTAAAATTTTTTTGCAAAAATGATTTGGACACATAGTTCTTAGAATTATTTTCAAAAAAAAATGTGATATGACATAATAGAAATGATGACATCTCTTATAATTAATATGATAATTATATTTAATGTTGATTTCTATTTGTGATAAAAAAAATTAGAATATGTTAATAACCCATCATCATCATTAAAATAAATACATTGAAATATGGTGAAATATAACATTAACTAATATATGATAGAAATATAAAATATTTACAAATTTTGAGATAGTATTAAGTTTATTTTTAAAAACTATACAGTTTTTGTTACCAAACAAAATTTTCATAACTTTATACAATCTTTTTAAATATTATAATTTTTTAACTGTAATATCATTTATTTTTCTTTGATATCTACAAATTTCAGTTATGTTTATATTTTATAATTATAAATTCGATATTATTTTATTAAGTTATAGAAGTTGATTTAATATATATTAATCAAAATAAATAATAAAATTTATCTAAGTGTATAATTCTATATATATATATATATATTAAATATTATTTTAAATAAATTAAATCGTTTATTTTATCTTAAATTTATATATAATAGTATAAAAATTATAAAATTTAAAACATTCACAGAAGTATTAGCAAGATTTTATTTTAAATATAATTTAAAACTTATACATGCACATAGTGCAGAACAAACCTAGTCACCAGTGAAAGAAAAAGATCATATATATACAAACTAATTCCCAACACAATCTTATAGACCTTCTAAATGATCGTAATAATATTTAACAAACAAATTCTTTGAAATATTTATCATTTTTGTTTCTTTGGAATATTTAACACTTTTGTTCTTTTTCTAAATGTCAGATTATGGTTTCAACTTTTGAGTTCTTACAGATTTACAAGTTTGTGACCAGGATCTATGCCACGACCAATATGCTCGTTTCTTGAAACATTTTTTTCTTGTCTTGAAACGTTGCCAAACATTTTTTTTCTTGTCTTGAAACGTTGCCGTTGACGGGATCCATAATACTCTTTTATGAGTTTGGAGGTAAACGAAAATTATATTCTTTATAAGGACGAAGCAAAAAGAAGAAGAAGAGAAGAGTGTAAAAAAAAAAAAAAAAAGTTTTCAGTTCAAAAAGAAAAGAGTGTAAAAAAGTTGTTTTTAATGGTATGGTGATTTAGAGTTCATTTCTAAAACGGTGTACAGAATAATGTGATGATGATGTCCTTGGGCTTTCGAACCATACGTATTCAACAATAACAGACAAGTTGTCGCTGTGTTCTATGCCAAACTTGTGTGCGCATCTCATCTATAATTCTCATCTGAGTCATCTCCCATGTCCAAAGCTCGATTCACAGAATACTGTCAATGGTGGAAAGTGGAAACAATATTAATCTATTTTATTAAAACTATATAAGCGATTTTATTTTAAATAGATTTATTACATTTTTTATTTTCTTCTTTTCACTCATCTTAATTATTTTAATAATTGATTCTTTCTAAATAATCTGATAATATTTATTATGAAAGTACAAAATAGAATTTATATATATTTTATGTGTTTTAGTAGATCTTTTTACATTTTTTTATTTTTCAAACTACTTCATTAATTGTATTTATCATAATAATTTAATGCCATTTATTTTACAAATTAATCATAATAATTTCACATGTAATTTAGATACACGTTCGGATACATATCAATTTTAGGATATCAGGTTTTTGGATTTTAAAATTAAATGTTGTGTGTAACATTAGATGTGATTTGAGTCGGATTCTTCCGAATGTAGATAGGTTTGTCAGAACCTAAAAATATCTAAATAACATATATATGTATATTTAAAAATATAATTAAAAATTATAAAAAGATAAAAGCTAATCTCTAGTTTAGAATTAAAGTTTGAAACAATATTTAAGTGGGTTAATCTAATTAGTTGAATTATTTTTTTCTTTGAAAAACTTTGGAAAAAAAAACAAAACCATATAATTGGGCGAAATATATAAATTAAATGAATAGTACGAGATGGTGACATACGATAAAGCAAGCCATTCCCGATTGTCACCGTCACCGATGGTCATGAAAATTGGTCCACATGGGTCGGCGTTGTTGTTGTATATCGGCCGCTACATCAGCAATAATTTGCAATCAATAAAGTAGAAGAATCAAATCATTTGCACATAAACAAAAAGTAAGAGAATCATTTTTCATTCTTATTTAAATAACTAGGAATGTTAGTATCAAATACGGGAAATGAAAAATTCTTATATAATTGATCTTAAAAGTAGGATTTATTTTCTTTTCAGAACTAGTTTTTTTAGTGGTTGATTTAAGCATATATTCCGAGTAATGTTGGTTTATAGTTCGGACCGTGATCAGCTTTAGATACAAAGGGAAAGAGGAAGAAGAGAGAATAAAGCTAAGTAAGAGACCAAATATTTTCATCTTCTTTTTAAACTTCTTAAGATGGAGATGTAGGAAGCAAAAGATGCGATTATCTGATTAATTATTGAACAGATAGGTGGATGTCTCAGATTGTCTGTACAACTCGACAAGTCATTTGTTTCGGTTTTTTCTAAGTTTTGCCCACGGATGTTTCCATCTACCTATTATGCAACGAAACAAATTAGATAAGAACAAAACTGCAAAGTCAATGCCTGAGTTGTTAAGCTTACACAAAAATTAAGGTTTTTTTTTTTGAATAAATAAAAAAACTTCCATTCTTCCTTAGCTGGTCTTTATGGTATCCTAGCTGATATAAACTCTTTAGCTTCTTCTTTTGATGTTATCTCTTTCAACTCGATCTCCCGTGAGAAATACAGTTGCTGATAGCAAATCAATATTTTGCTGTTAAACTTTTTTGTGGTCTCACCTAACTTCGGTTAAAATTCTTTTAAGATCGGATCTAAGATTTTAAGGACTTAAGGAGTAAAAATTTTGGGGGCTAAAGTCAATGTTTAGAAGATTATTCCTATATTAAAATCTTCAAAAATTTTGGAGGCCAATGCGAATGTTTCATTCAACTGTATCCATATCCGATTTTGGGTTCTTTAAGATAAGTGTGTTAAAAAAAAGGGAACATGTATTGGAACGGAATAGATATCTAAAAATCAATTCATGAAGTGTAATTCATTCTGTTTTCAGCAAATAGTTAGGGTTGTAATCCGTTTTGATCCAGAAAATTTAGATATTTGGAAAACGATGATTATGTGAAATAACTAAGAAAAAAATTATAATTATACTTTGAGAGAAGATACAGAGATATATAAAGAGAAAGTAGGAGATAGGAAGATATTTTAGACATTATTTCACATTTGGATATCCGATTTGTTTTTTTTTGGATAACTGGCAGATTCAATCTGTTAATAATAAATATTTTGTTATAATAAAAATAAATAAACATAAGTTATAATAAATAAAAATAATATGTTTAGATTAAAAACTAATATTTTAATGCAAATCATAGAACAAAATCAAATATTTCAATATTGGCAAACCATATAAGAAGAACTCATATGTTAACATTTAATTAACGCAAAAATTTAATTGAGCGTCCAATAGCCCAAAACTAAAATTCTGGAAACATATTAAAAGAATATATAAACCGAAATTGGTAATATATATATATATATATATATATATATAATAATTTCTATACACTACATATATATAAAATACAGATCAGATCGGACATTTGGCTTTTCAAAATAAGATTGTGATCTGATTTGTTTATTTAACGAATACTATATTTTACTATTTTATTTGATCCAAAGCTTTTTGGAATCAAATAGATTCAAAAATGAATCGAATTAATGGATTAAATGTCTAACCATAAATCCCCTATATATTAATTGAGAAACATTTGAAAAGATGTAACCTCAAGTTTGTATTAATTAAAAAGTAACCTTGCTTAGTTGTCAATCAATTAGCATACCAATTAAACTGACGTGGCAGCTTTAGGTTCAATTGAAATTTGCTTGGGAAAAATAATTAGAGACGTATATAACGCATGTAACATAGTTTATATATTTATATTTATATATATCGCACACATGTAATGGAAGAAAAGGAAAATATACGATTTGATAACGATTTGCATATATTAACTATAATAACTTCATTCCTTTTAATTTATGGAAGTGTATATGTAAAATGGAAATTACTTTGTGACCAAGTACATACTTAATGGTAAAGGCAAGTGTATATGTAAAATGTAAAACTTAATATGTTAACTTGGGAATCTACTATATTAAAACAGAGTCATTCTTTTTATCTACTGATACAAATTGTCATTTAAATTTGGACCATTTCTAGAATGTTACAAATAATATAAGTCATATAATTGATTGAACTGTATTACTTAAATTAAACCAACACAATTAATGTAAAGAGACGACCTTAATGTAAACTACCTTCAAAATATGGCAGGTATCTATGTGTATACCGAAAACACATATTTTTTCCTACAAATATGGAATGTTCTAAAAAAATATATATCATCAAAATATGGAATATGAAAATCTACTAATTATATTTAAATTAAACCAGTGGTTATTTATGAAATATAGTCTTGGGCTTACTTTTATTTTTTGAACAATTTATATAGTTTGGTTTTTGGGCTTAGTATTAAGAAAAAAACTCTAAAAACATTGAATAAACTTATCACCTTAAAAGATCAAAAAATCAATTATTATTTTCAGACCAAAAAGGTATTTAATATTTTTAACAAAACAAAATTATCTATTATTAATCATTTATTTAAATCATGTACTTTAAAACATGTTAATATATTTTTTT